AAGTTTGAATTGTAGCCCCAAAGATTTATAACGAATTACTGGAAAAGTACTAAGTAAATATTATGTATGTTTCTATAAAACATTTTATGCACTAGCGGGCCGTAAAGTGTACTATACCGCCCGGTTTTGCGGGCGTTAAGTCGCACTTTACCGCCCGCGTGCTCATTATGGCCCACGGGCCGTAAAGTGCACTTTACCGCCCGCTGTTCTCAGTCATCTTATATCCACATATCATTTCATGAAAAACCTATGATCATATACCTAGATTCTAATATATCCTGCGGTATATCATAAACTTCTTCTTTATCCGATTCCATATAGTCTCGCTATTATTATTATCACTAATTTTACTTTTCAGTCAAAGAATGACAATTCAGCTCGTTTATTGGATGTATTGCTATAGACAACAACCATTAGATTGATTGACAACGTCAAAATAAGTTAGGTTTATATACTGGGTATTATAATATATTGTAAAATTCTGAAGAATGAATCTCTTCTAGAGCTGAAAGAGTTTTACTATTACGATAATTGCAATATTCGTACGATAATTTTTATATGTAAATCATCCATGAACATTACGCTTCTCTTGATTACTGAATTATTACGTAACAAATTAAATTCTGGGGAAAATTAGTTCATCGAAATCTATAGTCATTACTTATGAGTCAGAAAATAAACCACTAGTGCATACAATTTTGTATGTATCCCGTGCGTGAAATGCGTTTATGGCCTTCAGCGTGTAATGGCCCTCGGATAGCGCCATCGGGCCATTATTCACGCCACAGGCCATAAACGCCTACTTCACGCCCTTGATACATAATTAACTATTGTGAGCCCCTAGAAGTTATCCCGATGCCAAAAAAGAATCATTCAGATTGCTGTATAATACCCTTGCCGAAGTTATTCCTGAACGAATAAAGAATAGTCGTCGAATTAATGGATTCTGTTAATTCTTTGGGTACGCTGAGATGTACGCTAAGAAGGTATTTCGCGGCATAAGTTTACAAATAACTATTTTATCAAATTAATGTCCCAAGCGACTGTCATCGTTTAACGAAAAATTTTCACTCCACACCTAAATAAGCAACATTCGAAATAATTTAGCACAGTACTATTTTCACAATCAATCCTCATTGTGAAAGAATGATGAAAATGGATACGACATATTTTTGATGACGTACCTAGGTATGACTATACAAATTAATGCTGTTGAAAAATCCGTTTCTTTTCATTTACATTCATGATCATTATTTGGTGTCAAAGTCGAAGTATTTATAAAGTGCATCGCATAACCATGTTTAACGAAGTAGGTAGGTATTCTATTTGCGATTCGGATTGAAAGATTAAAATTGGCGTGCCTCCAAATCGAAATCACATTTTTCAACATACAGTGTGACACACTTAAGACTGAAGCACCCCAATAAATTCAAACAATTCATTTTTTTTTTGTTCAGTAGAAAGAGCATCAAGAAGATCTAAGTTTATAATTCCTAATTTTCAGGGATACAATTTTTTTATGTTAAACATTGCAAAATATCATTCTTATGTCAAGAAAATTCGACTCCACCACTAGCTTCAGCATCTTTCAATTAGGATAGGGTGACCTCCGCCTTGGTGTCAGAGTGCATAGATAGCCTACAAAGGCTGTCAGCAACGAATAAGGTATGTCTTTTGTGGGTCCCTGGACACTCAGGGGTACCAGGTAACGAAATGGCCGATGGTCTGGCCAGAAAGGGGGCGAAAGGTTCAGTGATTGGCCCAGAGCCAATCTTAGGGGTCACTCGATCCTGGAGCAACTCCAAGATGAAGGAAATCCTGACGGAAAAGGTTCAGGACAGCTGGAGAAAGGCTCCTCGAATGAGGCAGTCCAAACTCCATATAGGAAACCCGTCACGAAGACAGACCAATGCCCTCTTGGCTTTGAACAGGAAGGAGCTGAAACTGGTGGTGGGCCTGCTGACAGGGCACTGCCACCTGAACAAACATCTCAGCATGATCGGGATTGTGGAGGATCCAGAATGCAGATGGTGCCTAGAGGATGAAGAGACTTCTACTCACATCCTCACTGAATGCCCGGCAATAGTGGCAGCAAGGGATATCCATTTTGGGAGCAGTATCCTGGACCCAGAGGATGTTAAAAAGATTTGGCCTAGGAAGTTGGTCTCTTTTGCTCGCGAGATCGGCCTTCTCCATGGCTGACTTGCGATCCCAGGAATGTGGGTGCACAATGGGCCCGAAAAGGGAGGCCTAAGTGCGTCAGGTCCCGGACCGCCCACACACATACATACATACATACATACATACATACATACATACATACATAGGTTAATTTAAGAATTTAATCGAATAATGATTGGCAACAAAGTTATAAGAACATCAATTTTCATAACATACCTACTATTTTTCATGAATATTTCAGACAAATCATTAGAAACGGCAACATTGTCAATACAAATGATGGACAGGGTAGGTTTAAGTTTTCATCTTTCGCGCCACTTCCGCCACTTTTCAATGATATTTTCTTTATTCGATATGGTTTGAAAACTTGTGATGCTTGTGAATATTTTATTTTGCCTGAATCAGTATTGAAACTTATAGGAGCCAATGTGACTTATAGCAAATAAATCGCAGATCTGTATGATGTTGAACTAGAAATATGAGTTGATACATGGTTCTGGATTGTCAGGTTTATCGATGTGTGATAAGATCAAAGACAAACCTCAAATACGATCGACAAATGTTATGTTGTGATTTACCAATGTACCTACTACTGAATGACATTGTATAGGGTTTATCTATATTCATTTTGTTTTGTTTTTTTCATTCTCAACAGATTCTGAATGAATAAAGTTTTTTCTGTGACGGGAAAAAAGTTTGGCATTTCATCCCCGCTACGCGTCGGGAGACAACACAACCTGGAGCTCAAATCTACTACTTTTTTCCCTTGTATAATAAATAACTATTTTTACGATATTTTATCCGATGTTATAAACAAACTGAAAATGAAGAAATATGAAAAATGTCGCTAAATCACGAAAAAAAGTCGCTGAGTTTTGCTCGCTTCGCTCGCTTTAGCGGTTTTTCCTAACTTTTTGCGACATTTCATGTTCAGTAGCTGGCAACACTGTCATTGAGGATTCTGGTACACATTCGAATTCAAAACACAATAGTCTAAAATCCGATTTAAAGACTACCAGGTTGCCTATCGAAATGTGGCTGCAAGTATTTTTAATTAAAATAATTTTCAATTTACTCACAAAAAAACAGGAAAAGGAATCAAACCTTGACACTTTGTATCTCAGAAATAAATAACTTGCGGAGATATGTTTTTACGAATTTTTTTTTCCATTTTGACGTCAGCAACATGCTCCTGTAATTTTTACGCGTACTCAAGAAACAGCCAGTAGAAATATTGTCGAAACAAACATTATCCGAAAGAAGGCTTCATCCCATCGAAGTTCGAAGACTATTTTTTATTATTTTCATTTTTGAAAATGAGCATTCTACAGTGCAATTCGATGTTATCAAAACCAAATACATTATTCTCAGTGTAATTTCAATGTTCGGAAGTGTAATTCTTGAACTTTCATCTTCAAGAATGTCGTATTGAAATACCTCAGTAGATTGGTTTCATCCATAGTCTTTTTTAATAAAAACACGCAAACGAACACCCTCCCTCTGAGGCTACAGACATAGGAATAGTTGTTTTTTTTGTTACCCTGTAATGTCCAGAGAACATCGTGAGAACCAAGGGAAATAAGATAGGAATTGGTGTTCTTCTTGAATTTCTCGAGGTAATATGCCTCCCTTGGCAATGTGTTCCAGAGCCTCGCTGTTCGTTGGATGAACGAGTCTTTGGAAAGAGATGTTCTGCAGGTCTCCAAAGTGACCACGAAGGGGTGCGAAGCCTCAACTCGACGGGTTAATCTCGCGGGGACTGCCAAGGGAGGAACAATTGCTGATATTTCAGAAGAGCAGCGTCCATGAAAATATCTAGAACCAGATCGCCAACTTTTCTACGGTGTTCCAGAGAAGTGAGTGAGTTTGTGAGCGAGGCATCACCCACGAGACGAATGGCCCTTTTTGCACAGAATCCAACAGCTTCAGGGTGTGTTTGGGTGCTGCACTCCAAATATGGAAACAGTATTCCAGGACAGGTCGGGTCTGTGCCTTATAGATAAATAGCTCCTGGCCCGAAACAGAAAACCAAGGTTCTGGGATGCACTTTTAGCATTTGATCTCACGTGACTTTCCCAAGAAAGGTTATTGCTGATAGTAATACCAAGCATCGAAATGGGTGTCTTCAAAGGTATGGTTACTCCTGACAAGCTTATGTCGGGCACAGTGAGATCGGCTTTTCTAGAGAAAAGGTATGCTTGTGTTTTGTTGGTATTGAAATCTACTAAGTTATTGGATCCCCATTCGAGAATTGTTGCCAAGTCCATATTTATGTTGTCAACATTTCTTTCCCGTTCGTTTCTGATTTGCCTGGCTGGTATTGGAGGCCTGGAAGAGAATGCGGTATGAATGGTACTATCATCCGCGAAGCTGTGTACTGGACATGAAGTTGCTTCCAACAAATTATTGATATGGAGTAGAAATAGTGTTGGTGCTAGAATTTATCCTTGCGGAACACCAGCATTTATGATAAGAGAGTCAGATGAAACCCCGTCTACCACTACATGGAGAGACCTGTTTGAGAGAAAACTAGCTAGCAGAGTGTTTAACCGTCAAAAGTCGAAAGATCTTTGTCTCTATTGTGGAGGCCCCTTTTCTGTGAAGGACCCATGGCTGTAGCCCCGGATGCCCTCCCCTGAATCCTGCACTGCGTAATTTCAATGAATACACCTACGCCAAAAGCTAACAAATAAATAATGGAATTCAAGATTGTCCTCAACGAACCTTCGCCAAAACACGAAAAGTAGGTACTTCGCATCTACTAGGCAGTGAAAGAAGCGTACATAGTATAGAGAATGTTCAATCAAAAAAATACTCACTTTCTTGTGATTCCATTTGACATTTACACTAGGTTTACCCCTTCGAAAATCCGACTGATCTATGACGTCATCATGGACCAGTGAAGCTGTGTGGATCATTTCTGCTATCATCGCTACTTCCCTTTGCGATGGTAAAAGATCACTGAAACAAAAAACAATAATATAGACCATAATTATGATATGTGGAATTGTGGAAATTAAGTAATTTGGATTCAACTACATAAATGAATGACTCATTAAAACTAAAGAGTTCCATTCGAGAGTGAAAGTGGAGATTCCATTCCAGAATTGGGAAACTTGATTTATTTTTCGTTTCCCACATGATTTACAGTTGCATCAAGGAATTAGTCTAATTTATAGTCGCAAGTATCAGGTACCTGTAAATTAGAACCTAAGGGTGAAAACACACGGAGCGGTTTTCGCGGGTTTCACACGAGCTGCAAAATTGAGCAGCGCTGCTGCCGCGCGTACGGTCGTCTGGATGATATGCCGAACGCGTTTTTATTGCTTTGAGCGGCTACTCAGACCGTTTTGTCAAGTGCGATTGAACACACGAGGAGCGGTTTTCGAGCGGTGCAATACAAACATTGTTGTCAAGTTGACCGATCCATGATGGTTCTCATTGATTGATGACATTTTCACAACTCCCACGCGAAACATCAACACCTTTGGAATCTCCCTCAGAATCAGTACAGTCCTATATAGAACTTTTCTCACCCGAAGATTCTGGAGACAATGAATTCCAAAGTTTGTAACGTTCATGCATTATAATAATAAAAATTGAGTTTCTCTCACCTCAGCGTTATCACTAGTTTTGCTTCTGGTGAAATACTTCTCCTCATTGTCGTATCCTGCTTAGTTATTTGATTCTTCATCAGAGTCAGAAGTTCATAAAACGAATCTTTTGACATTCGTACAAAATTGAAGAATTCTTCATCATTTTTTTCGATCTCATCATTAAATGAAGTATAAAACAAACATTTCTCAGTTCGTTCCTTGACAATTGGGTGTACCCACATACGCCTGTTTCTTTTTTCCTTCGAACGACAATAAATTAGTCCCACTAATGTTGAGAATTCCTCCTCAGAATCAGACTCCATACCGTTCAGACACTATTCCGAATTCGAACAGGAACCGACAACATCACATTGTTTTCGCATTGCGTGTCGCATCAGCAACGACCCGTGTGTCTTCATGCATTCGGCTGCCGAGTCGGCCGCCGAGTCGGCGAAAACCGCTCCGTGTGTCTTCACCCTAATTCACAGATTCAGATGACCATGAACTCGATATTTAAGCCTGAACATAATGGCAGAGTGAATGCTTCCGAAACGAAATTCAAGAGGGGTGATTCCTTGTGATATTTTAGGAAATAAAGTTCACATAAACATGTGTCCTAACTTGCTTCGTTTTCGAGATACAGGGTATGAATATTTCCATGGAAAATCTCTTTTCTATTCATTTCTCAATGGGTGTGTACACCTTAGTTGAACTTTTAACTCAAACCATGTTTATAATGATCCTTTTATACATAAATAATGATTGACGACATAATTCGATCGAAAAATCAACTGAAATGTTTTATTTTTGGACATAAATAATAGTACCTTCTGAAAACGGACCCTCTTATGACGTAGAAACCTCATCTCGCCATAGTTAAAAGAAAATACCAAACGCCCGACGGAGACTGAGGCAACTGATATATTAATTCTTTCAACTGTGATCTCGCGCTAATTCACTCTGTCAGAAATCATGTATCATTCATCGCTGTCTGGAATAGTCTTGTTTCAGTATTAGGGTTTTGACGTCACATCATCGCCTCGTTTTCAGAGGTCCGAAAAATCGGGGATTTCAATAATTTTTTATAAAACGTAGGGAGCTCACAGCAAGAAACGGTTTGCGGTGGAGAGCTAGTTTGGGTGAGTTCTATCGAATTATGAAATAATTTTTTTGTGATATAAGCCCATTGTCCTTTCATCAATTTCAATAATGTGTTTTTGTTAATAGTAATATGGAGCTTCTTCTAGTGCAATTTGATTCGAAATAATATTTCCAGTGGCGTCACAGTGGGTAAATTCATCGATATTCATGCTGAATGTCATTGTACATACACCAACGGTTTTTCTGATTTTCATATTATTATCAGATTGAACTATTGAAATAACAACTTTTTTCGTCGGCCTCAAACACGTATATCCACATCACGGTCCTATTCTCAAATCTATCGGATTTCGTGACTAATTAATTTGACAGCAGCAAATGACAGTTGTTGTCAACTCACTCTTCGCGCGGACCAGGGTTGCCAGTACGATTTTAATTTCATCAGTGGAAATTCAGATCAATTTTATGCTATACGAATTTCAAGAAAGGATAATGAAATGAACCTATGACGTCAACACATAATGTACTTTTAGTAAAAAAAAAGACTTAGCTGGATTCCTAGCCTCGCTACGCCTCGGCAGTCAATCTACTACTTTGCTGCCTAGTTAAACAAATAACTATTTCCGCAAGAGTAAGGTACAATGTTTTTCCTACGAGTGTTCTTGTCCATATTGATTATGAATCAAGGGCGTTAAGTAAGCCATTACGATAGCACTATACAGGTATCAGAATCAGAAACAAAACTAAACTTGGACAAAGGAATCACTTATCAAACAGTCACAAGAAACGTCTATTATATCTATTACCTATCTTAATTTTCAATAGTATCAAGGGCGTAAATTAGGCTTTTATGGACCGCAGCGTGTAAGTATCAACACGCCTAGGTCCATAAAAGCAAGTTACGCCCGAAATACATACAACATCTTGAGCACGACCATTTTAGACATTTATTTACTGTCAATATGGAATTTATTGATGATTTTGTTGGTCAAATTTTGTATGCCACTGGCGAAGAAAGATCGGATTGTAGTCTGCTAGAAATTACTGGAAAAACGTTGAAATTATACTTTACCGCCCGATCACTTAATTTTCCGCCCTAGGGCGCTAAAGTGCAATTCTATGCCTGAGAAACCGTGCGATGAAGTGTCACTTTACGCCCGGTCGTGCATGAAGTTCATTAAGAAAAGAAATATATAACAAGTTATTATTTATTTATGATCATTCTCGGGGGGAGGGGAGGTGGGGTATTTACCCCCGTTACCCCCCACCCTTATCGACGCCCCTGGCAGTCTCTGCTCCATCTAGAGATGAGCAGGGATGATTTCCGCTCACAACCGCGAATGCTGTCAAATAATGACATTCCACATCGTCAAAGAGTGAAAGGCCATTTTGTTAATCGGTTGTAGGAATATACAGTGCTTTTCTTTAATGTCCTCCCTCCCCCCCTCCTTTTTTTTTTGTTGAACATGTCAACGAAAAAAATTGAAACTTGATGCATTATAGTATTCATTTGAAGTAAAATTGACAGATGAAAATTTCAAGATGGCGACTGGGCGCAAACTGGGATAGTATATTCTTCAACGAGCGTATAATGATAGCTATTATTCCTGAGGATATGATTCCGAAACGAGCCGTAGGCGAGTTTCGGAATTATCCGAGAGAATAATAGCTATTATACGCGAGTAGAAGACTATACATTCTCTACGACTATACGATAGTCAGATATTTAATGTAATCTGATTATTATTTATGAAAATAATATACTTGATGTATGAATTTTAATGATATGATAATACAATTGACAGGAATCTTTAATATTCAACGAACTCAATGATGAAACAACACAATAATTATTAGGTCAGTTAATTATGTTTCTCGTACTTAGTGACTAAATATTTAGTGATATTCTCACAATTCGTGAAATTTTACTGTTGGTGTTGCATTTAAATCAACACTGACATATTTATTCATATTGCTAGTTGATGTTTTTTGTGTGAAGGAACTGTTATTTGATGATGATGAACATTCTTCGATTCATTGAGGAATTCGAATCTGCCGTTTTCTTTTTATTCAACATGGTATCTTCTAGAAATCCTTCTGCCACCGATGTGCTCTTTCAGCTTTCAGCCACCATGTCTTTTCAATGCTGTTATACCTCTACCTGCATTGACAAGCAAAGCAATGCCCGGTGTACATCTCGGGATTTGGTAGCTTCAAAAATGTAACTATTTGTTTTCCCATTGCTGCAAACTTATTAATTCCAATTTGCTGAAGAGTACATTTTCGTTTTTGGTAATTCATGAAAAAATTGGAAATCCCAACATTTGCTACTCGTATATCAATGTACTTTTTACAAAATTGATAATTTCCCGGTTACAGTGAACCTTCTTACAATTTTTGTTTTGGTCTCAGGAATAGTTATCATCCATGGAGATCCAAAATCTTGAATATCTTCAATATTCATAGAGTACATTTCTATGGAACGGCAAGCCTCCATTATATCCTCCAGATATCAGAGTTTAAACTTAAAAGACACTATAAGTCAATCTGACATTCGCGAAAGTCAAGCCGTGACGTGACCCGTAAAATGGAGCAGAGCCTTCTTGAGAAATTTGTTTTGTAGATTTGCTGGTTTTTCATTAGTCTAACCTTTTCAGTTGCTGTGGATCCTGAAAATTCTGAATCTGTGATTGGTCGAGTGCCGTTGAATAATGAGTTGGGATCCACGGTGTCTTGGAATAATCTTCATTCATCAATTACTAACCTATATGTAATCAATGTAGAATACGATAGTCGTAGAGAAAAAGAGTTATAATGTCTAACCTCGACGGCCACAGGAAAAGTATTATCCAACTTCTCTGGGACACCGTAAAAAAGGTGGCGCTCTGGATTTATTTTATAAATTTCTTCATGGACGATGCTCTTCTGAAATATCAACAATTGTTCCTCCCTTGGCAGTCCCCGCGAGATTAACTCGTCGAGTTGAGGCTTCGCACCCCTTCGTGGTCACTTTGGAAACCTGCAGAACATATCTTTCCGAAGACTCGTTCATCCAACGAACAGCGAGGATCTGGAACACATTGCCAAGGAAGGTGTTCCCCGAGGCATATAACCTCCAGAAATTTGAGAAGAACACCAATTCCTAGCTTATTTCCTTTGGTTCTCACAATGTTCTCAGAACATTATAGGATATCCCTCTTCGTGCGGGAACCAGAACATAAAAAAAAACTCGTCTGTAGTAATGTGCTACATCTTGTTCGAATA